CTCTCTCTGTGAAGAACCACTCTCTCTGTGAAGAACCCCCTCCTAGAGTTTTGTTGCAAGTCCCAAGGAAGCTCTCCTTTGTGTCTTGGCTTAAATTCAGTCTTGGTAGTGTAAAGCTCTTGTGTTGGCTGTTGGAGGTGGCCCTGATGAAGCTGGGCACTTGCATGAGCGAGTGAGACTGTAGTTGTGCTGTGGGGCCAGCAAGCACACCCCGAGTGAAATGGAGTGGGGAGGGCTGCTTCTGCCTCGGGGTGACTCGGGTGTGTGCCTTCCTTGGGTGCAAGTCCCATGAATTCAGTGACCGTAAAAACAGCATCAGCATGTGGCTGAAGTGATTAAAACCTTGTACAACATGTCTTGAAGCTGGAAGCTTTGTGGTGTGAAACATGTGCTGTGGATCCCAGCACCTCTGTTAGGCTGCTGTACCTACTGAGCAGCCCCCTGTGTGCTGGGTGCCCATCTGGTGGGGCCTCTGCTAGAGGTGACGAAAGCCAGCCAAGCCCCTGGACTGCATGCATGCATCCCTGTCTGCTGCCTTGGGATGAGAAGGCATGTGCTGCATGTTTCCAAAGCCGTATTTCCTTCTGTGTCTGGAGTCATCATGGAGCATTTAATTCCCCAGGCCCTGCGTGCCCTGCTGGGCCACGGGCTGCGGCCTGGCCTGGCCTGGCAGGAGGGCCCCGGGGCACCCACCTGGGCAGGTGGGGAAGCAGAGAGCGGGGGAGTACCTGAGCATTAGTTTTAATCTGCCATGAAAAACAGAACTGTGGAGGGTTGTTGTTTTTCCTTATTTATCATTCTAACTGATAAGAGTCTGAAAGGAATTGTGCCCAGGCATGACAGCTGTGGTTGATGAAGTGGTGTCCTCTACCCAGTTATTCATGCAAAGATCGTTGTATTTTATTTAAGAAGTGTGTTCTTCTGAGCTTCCTCCTCCTCCCCTTCCCCACTAGGTTACATGACTGACACTTTTGCCATGACAAATCCATGAGTGTTTTAAAAATTTACCATGAAAACCCTGGAGCTTTAATTATTGTGCATTTACATAATTAGTGCAAATACATGCAATTACCATGTGTACCTACACAATTACCAGCTACAATGATGTACTAACAATCCTTATTAAACTTTAGTGGGGGAGGGTTGTGCTGATTGTGTGCGTGAGCAACATCTGTAGCTTGATCCTCCTTTTTCTCTCCCTTGTTTGAAGCCGCTGTGCTTGTCTGGGGACAGGGGCTGACATGCTGGGAGCAGTGACGCGCTGGAAGTAGGTCAATCAGCTGTCCAAATTGGAGTTCATGTGAGATGAAAACACGATAGATGCTTCCAGGATGCAGTAGCTTCTGCTGGTAGTGTAACACCATCAATTCTTGATTACCTGTGGGTTCATAATCCCGAGTGTGAGGTAACTGTGCTGCATCAGTATCTGTACCTTCCCTCACATCTGTGGTTCACCTGAGCGGAATCCCCCAATTTCTATCGCAGCTGCACTTTCCTTGGAGTTAGAATTAGCTGCATAAAGAGGGAGTCCTTGCGGTTGCTGTGTCGAGCTGAATGTCTACTACAGGTGTTTCTAAATGAATTATTTATCTTAATTAATCTTGGAAAGAAGAAATGTTCCAGCCCACAAATGATCTCTTGTACAACATTTGCTTCCTCTCTCATAGAAATTACTTCATGTAGAAATACAGAGCGTTAGGAAGTCGGCTAACTCAGTAGTTCTCCGTGAATTTCTCCTCCTTCTGTTGGCTCATGGACAATGAAACAGTAAGCGATGCATTAGGGACCGCACCTCTTCCTGTTGTCTTCAGTTTTTGCATTTATTCTGCTCTTCAGCTGTAAGGAATTAGTTGCCTGTCGTACCTCCGAGGAAGAGCCTTACAAGGAAACTCCTCTCTGCTCCTTCTCCCTTGTGTAGTCCCCCAAACAGTGAGGAAAACAGTCTGTTTGTTTCATGCACTTCACTGAACACAGTTCAAGCCTTGATGGTCTTTTATGCTCTTTATACACAGGCCTGTGGAGTGTATGGTCACAGAAAAGCTTGTTTTTGTTTTGTTTGTTGTTTTACCTCTCCTTAAAGCAGAAGGCCACAGTGTCTGTTAAAGGAGGGAAAAATCAAGAGGCAAATTGTTGCTGTAAAATGCAATAAAGTAGTACTCTGGGCTCTCGGGCATGTTTTATGACCAACATGGCAATTACTGAATAAAATCCCATGCCCCAGAATGTTTACTACTGTAAACAACTTATCGTTATTTATTCATATTTTATGAATTCATTTTTTTTCACAAACTGTATTAACAATCTCTTGTGGCACAAAATAGGATGTGGTGTAATTTTTTTTTCTAACCAACTCTAAATAAAAGGATCCATTGAGAATCTAGTCCTGAGTGTGTTTCAGGCTACATTTTACTTAGCATGATTAGCTGTGTTAGAAGGCATTATGATGTTCTGGCAAGCTCTCTCTGGTTTGGAGCAGTCCTTGCTCTCCTTATCCTTACAATAACACTTTAGTCATTGCTTTCCTTTCATGTTGTCAGGCTGGCTAGTTCAGACTAAAACCTTTCACACAAACTCAGGCCAGGGTTCAACCTCGATGTTGTCCAGTTGGTGCTAGTGGTGTTAGTCGCCTTCCCTGCCTGATGGGGAAGAGCTGAAGCACAGGGGAGAGACAGAAGTAGGTCTCAGACTTCAGTATTCGTGCTCTACAAATGGCTGCATTTGTCGCTCTTTAAATCTCATTATCGTTCACAATTAAAATTCAGTCAGGCTCCAAGAAGACCTGCTTACTGTCAAAATCTGGTATTAGGTAGTCAAATGATAGAAAGGCAGTGATGTTTCTTCCCTCTATGAAATGAGAATCTGCCTTGTGGACAGCTCTGCTAACATACTAAGTGAAATGATTTTGGGGTAGTTATGTGCCTGTTTGGTTTTACATAGGGTTACTCGACTGCATTATTTGGAGCAGATAAAGAAATTGTGGTCATTCAGAATCCTTGGGTACTCTTTTGTAAGAGTGTGGTGTTGCACATAGCATGCTGGCTATCTTCCAGCTTTGATAATTATTTTCTGCTTGAAAACCTTGTCCAAGTTAAAATGCTGGGGAATGTATTGTTTCCTTCAGGTTTCTAATCCTGAAACTGTATGGTGTAGCTAGGGGAAAAAAGTAAGTTTAACAGCAGGAGTGACTGAATCCCCTATCTATCAATCTCAGCTGCAGGAAGATCTGGAGCTTTAGGAGAAAGGCTTAGACTAGTTGAGTGACTTTATTCCAGATCCAATTCCAGTTTGAGATTTCTCAAAGTTGAGATGTGCTTGGTTCTCGAATTTATGTTTGTTTGGCTCTGACAGGGCGCTGTCTCCTGGTGTAGGACAGATCAGCGTGCAGTGGGGTGATGAGTGTTTATGTCCCTGTAGAAGCGCACTGTGGGCACTACATAAATAGCACGCTTACAATGCTGCGTTTCCTCAGCTCACATATGTTAAGTTCCTTCTCAGTACGTTACAATCACATGCCATGCCTTCTCTTCCTATTCTTTCAGCTCGGTTTTGTTTTTTTGAGCTGTATCCTTGACTCTTGAAGGCGTGCATCCTGGATCTCAGTGCTACCTCGCCACATCATGTTTTTAAAGGCTTTATTCTCCTTGCCAAACGACTCAAGTCGCCCTGCTGAAGCTAGAAGGGTGTAACGGTGCTGTAAGCCAGAGCCCCGATCCTTGGCAGAGGGTGCCATGGGTGCCAGCTGCCCGGTGCTTGTGCCCCTCTCAGCTCCCCGGGTCTCTGTGCAGGGTGAGGGGCTGGGTGCTCAGACCCTGTCCCCACGCAGCCCTTGGCACCAGCCTGGCAGCAGTGACGGCTCGGCGCAGGCAGGGCGAGCACAGCAGGAGTTTGAGGCGGAACTCCCCGTAGGAGCCGGGCTGCGTCTCCTCAGCCGCTGCCATCGCTGCTGCTGCTGCTCCCCGCCTGCCCCTGGAGCCCCTGTGGAGGCGGCCAGCCCCCAGTGAGCGCGGTCTGAGCGCTGCCCCGCTGCTTTCAGGCACCGCCTGCTCGGCGCGGCGCCTTTAAGGGGCCGGCAGGGGAGGGGAGGGGAGGGGGGGAGCGGCGGCGGCGGGGGCGCGCTCGGCGCGGGGGCGCGCGCGGCCGGCTGGCAGGCAGCGGCATTGTTCGCTGACGTCACTGGCAGGCCGCGCGGCGGCCGCTCTCCAGCTCGCCTTTGTTATTCGGCGCTCCCCGGCCGGCGCCGCGGCCGCACGCAAAAAGCGGAGCCGGAGCCGCGCGGGGTGGAGCGGAGCGGAGCGGCGGGGCAGCCGCCCCGGGGGCGGGGGGCGGGCGCCGGGGATCGGGGGGGGGGGGGCGGTGCTGCCCTCCCCGCTGTGTGCCCCCCCCCGGGGCTGCGAGCAGGGGGGCGGGCACGGGGCGGGGCTGCGGGGTGTGGGGGGGAATTGGGGGGGTCTGGGGGCGGCTCGCCTCATTAGCAGCGCCTCGTAAAGCGCTGATTGTCCGGGGGCACCGGGGAGCAGGGCGGCTGCGGGCGGGGGGCTCCCGAGACCCCCAAACGCCGCCCCCGGGGACCCCCGGCCGGAGCCGCCCCTACCCGGGGGGGCCCCGTGGGGTGTCAGGGAGCCGGGGAGCAGCTGCCCCCTGCCCGCCCGGCAGCTTGTCCCCATGGCCGTGCACAAACACAAGCCACGAAGCCAATAAACAGCGATCGGTACCGCGCAGCGGAGGCACCGCATGCTCGGCGGCGGGCGGGCTCCCGGGCGGCTTTCCCCCGTGGCAGGCGGGGGGAGGAGGAGGAGGAGGAGGTGCGGGGAGGTGGGGGGGGTGTTCTCCTGCCTGGGGTTCGCGCAGTGGAAGGGTTTTCTCTCTCCTTTTTTTTTTTCCTTTTTTTTTTTTTCTTGTGCGTGCAATCCAGGCAGCCTCCGCCGCGCCTCCCCGCCGTCAGCCCGACATTGGCGATGTTTTAACTCGCCTCCCAGCCCCGAACTTGGGGCGGCGTGAGCGTGTGTGTGTGTGTGTGTGTGTGTGTGTGTGAGTGTGCCGGGGGGGGGACCATCCCCGCAGGAGGCAGCTCCCTTTCCGATAGGAATCTGGGACAGATTTTGCCAGCAGCCACCGAGCGTGGCCCGGCGGCACGGAGCAGCCCGTGTAACCCGACACTCCAACTTGCCGTGCGCCCTGCGAGTTGATTCACTTACTCACCGCCGGCACCGCGCTGCCGCTCGCTGCCGTGGGCGAGGAGAGGGGGGAGAGGGGACGGGGAGAGAGAGGAGAGCAGAGAGAGAGGGGAGAGAAAAAAAGGACCGGGGTGGGGGGGCGGGGGGAGCCGGGCGAGAGGGGGAATAAAACAATCTGCCTGGCGGAATACCCCGCTAGAGCCGCGGAGCGCTGGGGGAGCGAGGACGCTGCCTGGTGCCGAGCCCAGCCGGGTAAGTTGGGGGGCGCCGCTCGCAGCCCCCCGGGCAGGGGGCGCGGACAATGGGGGGGGGGGAGCGCGGGGAGCGCCCCTGGGGGGCCCGGCCCGGCCCGGGGCGAAGTTGGCGGCGGGGGCCGGCAAAACAAAGGGGGCCGGGGCCGGGGGGGCGAGCCCCGGGGGCGAGCTGCTGGCGGCCGGCTCGGGAGCGGGGCCTCCCCGGCGGGCGGCAGGAAGGAGCCGCCGGCGGTCACCCCCCCCCCCCCCCCCCCTGCTGGCCTTGCCCTGCCCCCGGTGCATCTGTCCGGGGGGCCCGGCTCGGCTCGGCTCGGCTGGGCTCTGCTCGGCCCGGCCCGGCCGCCGCACAAAGCGAGGGGAGCGGCGGCGGAGCCGCTCCGGGAATGTAAACACGGCGCGGGGCCGCCGGGCTGCGGCCGGCAGCGGGGGGGTGGGGGGGGGGGCGGCGGGGCCGATGCGAAGCCGCGCCGGGGTCTGCAAACTTTGCGCCGCGCCCCGCCGGGGGTCGGCTCCCGCGGCGCCGGGGGGGGCTTGGGGGAGGCTCGGGGGGTTTTGCCCCCCCCCACACCCGGCGGGGGGTAAAGCGAGGGGCAGGCTCCGAGCGGGGCTGCGGGCGGCGCGGCGGGGCCGGGGGGGGCCGGGGGTTGGCGGCCGGGGTCCGCAGGCCGGAGCGGAGCGGGTGTCGCGAGTGCGTTTTTCAATGCGTTGAGACGGGAGAAGAGGATTTAACTTGGCAGGCTGAACAAATGCTCTATCAAAGGTTTCCTAAGAGACAGTGGGAGAGCGGGGGAGATGAATGACCCGCGGTGGTTTTAGGGTGCTACCTCTGCGGGCTGGCTTTCACAGGCGCAGTGGCCATTTAGGGCTCTGAATACAACTCCGCGCATCAGAAAGGCGACAGGCTTATAAAATTTAAAAGGGCAAAAGCCCATTAATGCTGTGGCAGGGCTCTGGCTCCCAGCTCTGCTTGAGCAGCTCCAAGCGCCTTCAAGTGCCAGAGCTTTTAAGGAATCCCCAGCAGCAGCAGCAGCTCCCCCGGGGCTGCCGGGTGGACCTTGGCCTTGGGCAGCGGCCGACCTGGGGCAGCCTCTGCTCGGCTGGGGCAGCGCGACCAAACGGGAGCCAGGCGAGGGCAGGACGGGGAGAAGAAAGGGCCCGGGGCCGGGATGCCGGGCTCGCAGCTCTGCGGGCTGCAGGCGCCGTGCCGCTGCAGCGGGGGCACGGTGGCAGGGCTCCGAGAGCGCTGCCAGCAGCAGCAGGAAAGTTTCACAAAGGAGTCGAGCAAAATTACGCTCCGCTGACGGTCTCTGGGAGAACGAGGGTCTGGCGAACAAACGTAGTTGGTCTGCGATTCAAACTTCCACTTCCTTCTCTCGATAGAGGGAAATTTACTGTGGCATCAATCTTCTCTTGGCGGGGCCCGATTCAGGTTTGTGAATGCCAGGAGACTTGCTCTGACCTTTTTCTGTTCAAGTTGAGGATGTTGAAACACCAGCCATCAAACAAAAGACACATTGAAAGCAAGATCTGCAATGGAGCACGTGTGACTTTGAGGCTAGTTGAGTGCGTTTGGTGGCTGTTTTCCGCCGAGTTGGGGGGAGGAGAGAGAAAAAGGACGCTTATTTTTTAAATGAGATTATGGAAAACATGACTTGAAATCCCCTAAATATCCCCGAGTCAAGGACCTTTTTTATTTCTATCTTTACTTTTAAAACGTCTTAGGAAAATGCCTCCGTTTCTTCTATTTTCTTTTTTTACATATGTCTAATTTGCAAATGACGAGTATATTTTTTTCCCCGCAAGTGTGAAGATGACCAGGAATGTTACCGAATTTCTGATTTTTTTTTTATTTAAAAAAAAAAAAAAGCTTTAGAGAATTAAGTGACTTTCGGATTACAGCTTAAAACAATGAAAAATTCCCTGGGGTTTAATTGACAGACTCACGATTTTATCTACTCAAGATAATACTACCTCAAAAGGTGGCAGATTTAAAGATTACTCTGTAAATTGTAAGTTAAACTTAGTTTGGGCTCGGAGAATTGAAAAAGAACCCCCTCAGGACCAGTCGATGTAGGTATCTAACCTGCCGGTGGCACTCATAACAGGGACAGATGCCGTTATTGTTTGCATTGTTTACAGCCCACAATACCTTAAACGCTGATAATGATTAGAAACAATAATTGAGGCTGTGGCAAAGGATCAATGAAAACTTTGCTTCAGGAAAGAAGCGAGTTGCTGTGTGTGTATGTATGTATACACACAGTATTTGGAGCTGTCTGAGAAGCGCAGTCACCGTGCGGTACAGAACTCTGTTTTTAGAATATTTTAAGAAACCCACAGAAGATAATAGATGAGTTTCGGCATAACCTAGGATTTGTACTGATGGCAGTGGTTACGGGGAGCTGAAAGGAGAGGGCTCTGTGCAGCGCGTTTCCATTCATAACTTTTCTTGGGAGTTGTTTGCACTTTACCCTAAATCTCCTCCACTTTTATAGGTTCCAAAGGTTCTGTGTAGACAAAGGAGGAAAAAAAAAAAACAAACAAGCAGCCAACAACCCAAACATCTCGGGTGACGGTTACATCACTGATACTATAGTTGGAGACAATGTTGGCTGTTTTTTTAGCAACTTGGTGTTTGTGCTAGCAGCTCTGGAGAGCCTGGTTTCTTCTCTTGAAAAGGAAGAAAAATGCATCTCTGAGGAAATGAAGTTGGCGTTCGTTTTGCCTTCCCCAGTGTTTCTGGTAGGCTTCAGGTGGTGGGACCCGGCTTCCTTCCCACCCCAGGGGAGGAAAGGTGGCCACGGGTGCTGGTGGGCTGCTGCTGCCCTACCTGGGGCACCTGGCTCCCACCAGTAGCTCGTGCCTGCGATCAGAGATTTGAGCACTGTGCAATTGGCTGATTTGTTCGCTCCTAGTTAGACCAATTTTTGTGAAATCCTATCCTCTATTACAGCCAAGTGACAAGGGTATTGCTGAAGAGTTGAGGGTTGGTTTACTCTTGTTCTCGTCAACTGCCTGTTGTGGGATGAAGAGCACGAGTCCTCTTTATCCATTTCCATAATTTTGTGAGAAAGCACCTCATACGGTGCAGCAATACAGAGCGCCATGGATGGGCACTGATGTGCCTGCTGCTCAGAGGTGTGTGCTCCTTTTGCTGAATTTGGCATGTGTAAGCTTTCCTGCTGATGGTAAGCGGAGGCTGTGTCAGTGGTATTAGAAATCATTTCTGCTTGAAAATGGTGTCTTTGGCTTAAAAACAAGGTTTGAGAATTGGAACGTTGCTTTGTCATATTGATTTTTCTTCTGCTTCTCTTTCTGAAAGCAAAAACTTCTTGTGTAGCAATTTCACGTTATTTATTTCCATTGGATTACGCAGGATCATTAGCATGCCGCTTGCTTAATGTTGGACATTTTTAAAGGTGGCGCAGGCTGCAGGAGCAATGTCCAGGCAATGGGTTGTAATGGATCTCCACAGCTTGACTGTTGGAGGCAGTAGTGTATTATGAGAGCAGAGGATGGTCCTACACTTGTTTCGTGTTATTTTTGGTTCTGATCCTCCAAGTTGTGCTGGAGTTCGCATGGCCTGCAAGGGTGAGGTTTGGGGGTGTCGGTACCGTGCCACTACCCTTTATCAAGTAGGGCAAATTGCTGTGGGTGTTCTCTGTCTGGGGGGAGGGGGAAAGAAAGCTATTTTTAGGCAGGCAGGCAAAATCACTTTCCATCAAATTTCTCCTGCAAGTATCAACAGAGATTAACGTAGTTCTTGGGGAATGACTCACTCATTAAAGACCGTTCCCTTTGGAAGCCCTGGATAGGCAGTCATTCGGTCCAGGCCACCCATAATTTCCTTCAGTTGCCTCCACTTCTTAGACCTGTAGCAAAGGACAGGAAAAGTAACTTGTGCTCCTCTACCAAGTCTCAGGGCAGCCAAACGCAGGCCCTTCTAGTGGGGTTGATGCCCTTCTGAATAAGGTTTAGGATCTGATGAAATACCTGCACTCGGACCCACCTGTCCGTTCGCTAGGTAATGCGATCAGTTGAGCTGTTTCGTGTAGCATATTCGTGTCGTGGTAGTGGCACAGAAGCTCTCATGGTAGCACTCTGTTCGGATACATGTAGGAAGTGCATCCCTTTGTTGATAATCTGGCATTTGTTTTGACTCGGCAGAGCAGCTTTGAATTGATTCCCAAAGCGACATGGGCAGGCTGTTGGTCCAGCGTGGACGGGGGGAGGAGGGACACAAGACATCAGCGCCAATGCCGTGAACGTGCACGGCGCTACCGAGTAGTGCAGATTGCATAAAGCTGAGTTTGGACTGCCCCTCCTGCTCCTTGTTTGTCTTTGGAAGGAGTTAGGTTTGTTTTTTCCCTCCTGACTTTGTGTGTATATGCCAGTGGATGGTGGCAAGCTGATTGACACAAGCGGTATGATCCTTGTGCGAGGGCGTCCTCCTGCAGCCCGCGGACCACAGCCAGACGATGATGCTTGGCTGCCTGACCTGCTGGCCGTGCTGCCCTCCTCGCCCTGCAGAGCCCTGCTTGGTGCTGGCTGTCAGCCTTGTGGTGTTGGAGAAGAGCAGCACTGCTGCGGGTCGGACTTGGGAAGTGGGGACAGCTCCAACCTATGGATAATAGCTGGGCGTCATCAGAGCTAGCATGAGAGGGAAAGCCACAGGCATCGTGGAAAACCGGCACGGGAATTGATTGTTGTCTTCATGCAGTCGTCTTAAAAGCTGTGGTTGTGACGCTCTGAGGTGTGCCTGGTGGCCTCTGGTGGCTCGGGCTCGTGTCTGGTCAGCGCAGCGTTAAGTGGAGAGCACTGCCAGCGTGGTCTGCCCAATGCACAAACGGGGGCAAGCTCTGCCCCGATCAAGTTGCAGCTCCTTGCAGCTGGGAAATACCATTTGCCATCTTTGCTGATTGGGTATGTGTTTGGGGAGTGAGAGAAAAGGAATACATGGGCAGCAAGCTTGTCTTGTCTTTGGATTTTGCTTTTCTA